TTGAGTATTTTTGAGCAAAAATTCCTCTTAGGGGTTGGAAGGGCTATGTGATCGGTGAGTGAGGGTGTTACGCATGTGCGCGTGTCACACCAATCACAGTGTGGGTTGTATCAAAGAACGAATCAAACTGCCTGTTAGAAAATAAGATGGTATCTACATTAATCTGGAGACGTATCAGATTACTGTAGTTTGTTCAGTCAAACATTTAATGCCTTACTATTTAGTTATCTCACCATTACCGATGGAACATCGTATGTACATCATAAATTCCGAGTTTCTTTCTTGCTGTACATCGCAACCAACAAAACTTGTCAAATAAACCAAATCATTACTGTAAACAGGTCTATGAATGCTCCTATCTCCGGGACTTTTAGTTCACAAAAAAATAACTCTTGCACGCCTTGCGTGCCTATGTTTTTTCTTTGCAGGCAAGTTATGGAAAGTCGCTCCTCTTTCCCTATCCTTTTCGGCTCGAATTTTTACAGTCCGGGGCCGAACATGATGGCATTTTTAGCTCACAACAGTTACTGAATAAACAAGACCGAATTTAGAACAGAAAAGAAGAGCTTCAGCCTTTGAGTTTCGCGCCAATTCGGATGGAATCACGCCACGGATATGTGGCCTGGCCTGTAAGGTACTGTTCAAAATGGCGGCCTGTGCAGGCCCGCAAATGATCCCCGTACCGCAAATGATCCCCAAATTGTACCCCAAATGATCCCAGGACCAGAATTGATCCGCATATTGTACCGTAACTGATCCCAGACCAGAAACGGTCGCCTCGTAATAAAAGATGGAAAAGTGAGAACTCAGGAATTTTGGACAGTGGATTTAAAATTTATACAAACGGTTTTTGAATCTACGGCCAAGGGGCCGTAGATTCTATGTCACCGAGCGTGTCCGTTAACCAAAAACGTGTAACAAAAGAACATTCGTACTTAATCAACCTTCGGATGTGCGAAGATCGCTTCCCAATTAATGCCCCAATGACCGACTGTAAGATTGAGGGGAACAAAATGTGTAAAGATTAGTCACGATTGATTTGTCCGAAGACTTTCGACTGGTCAAAACTGTTAATGTTTGTATGAAGGAATTGCTTGTCAAAACGGAGAAAAAAAAATGAGAATTTACTAGCAGCAGCACAGCGTTACGGAGCATTATCAATGACTACGATCTCTAACCACCAATTGTACGTATGACATTGCAGACTCGTTTTCCCACGCTCTTTGAGATGACGCAAATTGGTGAGTAGACAAACTTTTCTATTTTTTCTGATATAAACAGGTACAGCTATCAGCGAATGTGCCAAAACCTTGTTCTCGAATGATCTTGCATGATTTTGAGTGGTTTCCGAAAGGATTTGATTGGAAATACGATTGTTACGTACCTTCAAAGGAGCTATCGAGCAAATAAAACGCACATTTGCAAATTGATGTTTATTTCATGTTTCCATACAACCTGGAACTCAACGTGTTTGTTTTATTATAAATATTTGTTTCAGCGACAGGCAGGATTGATTCGTAAACGCTCTGCTGACAAAAAGCTATCGGAACCAGGTCGATACAAAGATCGTTCACATAAATTCTTCTTACGGAAATTCTGGATTCTTTCAATATTAAATACTTACAGGCCAGGAAGGCTTACCTTACATATATAAACAAGGCGGAACTTATTAATCTTCGTCAACCGATAAGGTGTCTTCGTTCAAATAATGATCACCTGCGACTGCACATACCGGTGTTTAGGACAAAGACCTACGGGGGACGCGCTTTTTCATCTTGTGCGCCAGCACTGTGGAATACATACATACCATACATACATACATACGTACATACGTACATACGTACATACGTACATACGTACATACGTACATACGTACA